TTGAAGGTCTTGATGAAGTAGAAGTAGAGTTGCCAAGTGAAATTGGAAATATGGTACACTTAAGGTTTCTAAGTGTGAGGCTTAGCAAAATAAAAACGTTTCCGCCATCCCTAGGTAATTTAGTATGCTTGCAAACTCTTCATTATATTGTTTACTTTGTAAGACAGCTCATGGTCATCCCAAATGTGATAATGAAGATGAAACAATTAAGACATTTATATTTACCCTGGAATTACAGAGCAAAGGGTAAGCTGGAGCTGTCTACTCTTGGCCATCTACAGACCTTATATAACCTTTCAAGTGAGTATTGTGATTTGAAAGATGTTGGTAGATTAACCAATCTTAGAAAACTGAGAATAAGAGTGTCAAGCTCTTTGCAAAATCTGGAGGAAATCTTAAAATCTACAAGCAGAACGCTTAATCGTATCCGGTCTCTAATTGTGTTTGTGGAAAACAATAGTGGTGAAGAGCAAGCCATGCAAATAGTATCAAGCTGTCGGGGTATATACAAATTGACGTTGGTAGGGCCAATCGCAGAATTACCGAAAGAGCTCCACAACTATCCAAACCTCACCAAGTTACGATTGTGGGAATGTGGTCTCAAGGAGGACCAAATGGGAATGCTAGAGAAATTGCCAAACCTAACATCTCTGAGCCTTAGAATGAAAGTTTTCAAAGCGAATACAATGATACTGGTTTTCTCCAAAGGAGGCTTTCCTTCTCTTCAATTTCTTTTTTTTTTTGGTATGCACGAAATAACAGAGTGGAGGGTAGAGGAAGGAGCCATGCCTAGTCTCTGCCAATTGCGCATTGAATATTGCAAGGGATTGACTACACTTCCAGATGGGCTGAGATATATTACTAATCTCAGGGAATTAACCATCAGAAGGATGCATAGAGAACTCCACCGTCGGATTGAGGAAGATGGAGAGGATTTCTACAAAATTCAACATGTACCTTCCCTTGTAATTGGAGAACCACACGAGGACTAACCACCACCGATGCAATGATGGCAAGGTAATTTCTTTCTTTTAATTTTTTAATTTTAAAGAGAAATGGTTGCATTTTAAAGCGAAATGGGTGGTTTGGTTTGTGTTTATTAGTTATAAAATGAAGCAGCGAGAGAATATTAAAGTAGAAAAGCCAACAGAATATGGGCTCCCTTGTTTAGCTATGTTTTCTTTCTCCATTTTTATTGCTTTTTGCTTGTGCTTGTGAGTTGTGAGTGAGAAGCTAAATCTAAAAGCCAATAGGTTAAATTTCCTTATTTTATTACTTATAAAATGAAGCACCGACACCATATGATAATTCTATCGCATTCCAAATTTAAGTTTTCGATGGTTCCGTGGCAATCTTATAATAATATTTCAAGCTCTTCTAAAAGTATTTGAATCCAGAAATTTTGAAGTTAATGAAGGGATTGATTCTGACCATTTTGTGAATGATAGATTTCCAAGTATTTTCTTCTTCAAGGCTTGAATATATGTTTTTTGGAAGTTAACAGTTGAATATATGTTTATGGCATTTTGAGACATTTTGAATATATGTTCATTCATGTGAAGAACAATTAGAAAGCTCCAGTCGATAAGCAATAGGATTTTCTTTATAGTTGATCATGTTAACAACTTATCTCTCGTTGTTTTAGTAAAAAGGCTAACACATACCCAAAACGTACGTAAAACACGAAGCTTAAATACATACTCTTGTTTTCTTTGGCATATTGGATAAACTATTATGTACAAGAATACTATCTTGAAATGAGTGTTTTTCTTTTCGAAATGTAGTACAATTTTACTACTATGTTCATATTGGAATGCAATTTTCACAAGTAAACTTCTGAATTTGTGTTATGGTAGCTGCAGGTAGGACCTGACATTGAGAAAGTATCTCGAAACTCTGCAGCAGGGGGAGCATGTGCGAAGTTGAACTTATAGGGAGAAGAAAGAAATGCTCTATAAAAATCAAGAGGAGCAAAGATGTGGTCAACTAGTTTAAAGTTCGTTACAAGCTTTTGGGTCTAGTGGTTGTCCAACAATACACTTATATTACACAATTGAAATTATTGTATTATATTAAAATTTCCTTGATGAAACCTTCTTTCGTGTCTGCTTTCAATTATGAATATTTGAGCCTGTGGGCATGGCATGATGCCTCTGTTTATTTCACGGTTAGCATTCCCAACTTGGTCCCATGTGCCATATGATATGATTTTATTTTTGTGATGCATACATTTACGAAATCGATATACTGTAATGGATGATTTTATCTTTGTCTATAAGTTTTTTAAGTGTCATTGGCCCCTAAGATAGGTCATCTAAAAGTAGGCCTGGGCACGGTTCGGTTCGGCCCAATTTTGAGTCCAAATTGGAACTGAAACTGATACTGTGCATACAGTCCGGTCCGGTTTGGTTTTTGTATAAAACTGATAGTAGAACCGAACCAAACCAGACTGGTTACAGTCCAGTTCGGTTCCCTGTTCTGAACGGTTTGGGCCTGCTTGAAGGCCCATTTGAGTTTTTTGGGTTTTTAAACTTTAAAACAACCTGAATTTTTAAATTGTTGGGCTTACATCATAATTGGCCCAATTTTTACACCACAATTGGCCTAAATACTGAAACTTTTAACAAAACAAAGACATAAAATGATAAGTTCAGCAGTTATCAAGTCTGCCAAATTAAATTATAGCAAAGTTTTCAGCAGTAATCAAGTCTGCCAAATTAAACTACAGCGAAGTTCAGCAGCAAATTAAATTACAGCAAAGTTCAGCAGTAATCAAATCTGCCAAATTAAACTACAGCAAATTAAATTACACAAGGTTGGCTAAGTTGAGCAGCAAATTAAATTACACAAAGTTGAGCAGCAAATTAAATTACACAAAACAAATATACAATTGGCTCCATTATGTCATCCATTATCAAGTTGCCAAAAATTTGAGCAGCAAATCTCATATCACAAGGTTTACCAAGCTTTGCTCTAGTTGGATGAACTGCATTCATTCAAACAAAATCTTAAATTAACACAATTATTTTCTTGTTTTATAATACCATGGACAGATAAAAAACATACCTCAAGACAGAAACCACACTCAAACAACCATGTAGTCTCATTGGAAAGTTGCATGAGTTGAATTGGTTGGTGTGCGTGGCCTCCTAAGATCTAGAAAATATAAACATAAAAACATAAATCATATATCCACCATTAAATCACATTAAAAAAAAACAGAAAAATATATGGAGTAAATCAATCAAACAAGCTCCAAAAACTCAATCGGAAATCAGACATTTAAACTGAGACTCATTTTGTCTGAGGAAAACATATCACAAACTTTTATATCCCGAGTTCACACTGATTGGAATGAACAGATCCTTGTAGTTACATATAACAAGGGATAACACCAATGCCTGAGCCTCATCTACAAAGATCAAGCCACAGAGAGAGTAATAGTCTGGAAAACCAATATTTTCCTAGGGCATTTGTATATTTTTGTTAGAGAGAGTTTTGTCATCAATAGAGATCGTGAATTTTCAAAGAGGTTTCTTTACACTTTCTTGAACATGACAACTGCAAATTTAAGTACAATTCTAAGTATAAAAGATATTACAAGCGAATTCAAAGATACAAATCAGACTGAGCTAACAAACTTTCAGAGCTCCATGCTGTGATAGACATGAAAAAACCTGTGAGTTGAACAAACGCAATTTGTCAAAACACTAAGCAAAATAACAAGTTCCAATACCTTCACCTTCAAAAAAAAAAAGTGTCAATTATGAGGACTGAAATAGATTAAACTTCAAATGTCCAGTATGTGTCAATTGGCAAAACAGGCAGCTTCAAAAGTCCAATACTCCATGAATAACAATAAACCAGGACTGAAATAGATTAAAGTTTTAGATCAAGATTTGCTGCATAATTGAAATACAGGATTGAAGGAAAACCTAGAAAACAAAAATCAATTAAGGCATGACGATCATCTTCGTCTTCTTGTTGCCTGACCTTCACCTTTGGCTACACTTCAAGATTCCCAAGAGAAACAAGAAAATCCATTTCAGAATCATTTTAATTTTTACTTTCTAATAACATAATACAAAAGAATAACCTAAAAGATAAATAAATGAAAACTGAACACAAACCTTTCCATTTTCCTCTTTTTCTCTCTTCTGAGAGCTTCTTCAGTTGTTGGTGTTTAGGACCATGAAGTGAATGGCTCTGAATTTTGGGATTATTCAAAAAGATGGGACTAAATTGCTTTCTGGATTCTCTCTCTTGTTCTATATGATGATGGAAAGTAGGAACGTGCAAGGAATCATTCCTCAGGTGTTTGTGCAATTTTACCACCCCATAAACTTAAAGGGCAAGAACCCTTTGTGGATGTATTTGTGCTATGTTTTCTAGTGCGTTCACAAACACAGAAACAAAACTTTTGTAAACTTTCATTTATAATGCAACCTAATTTAGTCACTTTAATCAGAATAAATTTCTTCATTATGTGAGAGACAATTACAATTACAAACAAAGCACATCCTGTTCTGTTGCGTAAAAAAGAAAAGGACGATCATTCTATCTCTGTATAATCCACTAAAGCACAAGCACTAATCTAAAGGCTAGTTAAAACTATGCACAGATTATCTCAGAGCTTGGTTACAACGAAGCCAAGATGTATCCTGCATCAGTGTGTTTCACTCAACGTATATACTATTTGATCTGACCAAAAAGATAACTCTCACCAAATATATAAGCTTCCAAATCGTTACAAGCTTCAATGTTGATGTTCGACAAAGCCTTCAATATCTGTATAATCCACTGAAGTACAAGCACTAATCTCGGCTTTTTCCTAATTTTTTTAAAAAGACGCGGTTTTGTCCCCTTTTTTCCAAAATGTAAATCGTATAGCCGCGCGGCTGTACTCGGTTTTTAAATTTTTATAAATTGTATAGCCGCCGGCTATACTCGGTGTTTCCTAAATTTTTATAAATTGTATAGCCGCCCGGCCGTCGGCTATACTCGGTTTTTTTTTTCAACGAAATCGTATAGCCGCGCGGCTATACCCTAATTTTTTTACAAAAGAATAGTATAGCCGCTCGGCTATACTCGGTTTTTGAAAACAGTATAGCCGATCCGCTGTACTCGGTTTTTTTATTTTTAGAAACAGTTCAAGGTTCTTGCTATGAAAGGCAATTAGTAATTACAAGCAAGCCACATGATGTTGCAATAAAAGAAGGCAGACCTAATTTAGAAACATTAGTTCACTCAATTATCAGCACTGATCTAATTGTTACATCCCTGGTTACAAAAAAGCTCATGTTGTTTCATGAACAAACAGGAAGATCTATTATGTATCAGAGCAATTCATTCAAGTAAGAGTGCCTAACTAACGGCAACTAAAAGACACTCGATTTCCCGTAGAGCTTGGTTTTCCATTTCTAGGGGGTCGTCTCTGGCTTGGAAGTGTTATCTCTGACCCTTTCCTTTCTTTAAGAGAGTTCTCATCCTTGGAGTTTTTGGTTTTTGTAGAAATTTTAGTAATATGGCATGGAACACATTGTGTAGGTTTCTTAACCAAGTTATGATTCTTCAATGCTGATGGTCGTTCTGCTTTGATCCTGTTTTTATTTCCGATCACCGTATCATTTTCTGAAACAAAATAACCAAACACAAAGGTAAGCAATTGTAAAAGATGACGATCACATTTTTAAATAGATATACTAATGCTGCTGAAACACCCGCACAGCCTAGGATTAGGAACATGCTGCTGTTTCAAGTACTACATATCAGACTCAATGTTTATGAGTTCATGCTATTTTCTTCAATCTATCAGAAAGAAAGATCTTAATTATTTAGAGATTAGCCAAATATGATTACATCCCCCCCATCACTTTGAGGCGTTCATTGGATATCAGACAATAGCTAATTATTAAGCGTATGCATGTTCTGTTGTATAATGGACAGTCAGCATAATAGCCAACAAGCTGTTTCCCAGAACCAAAAAGTAGGATCCAGTATTATTATCAATGACCCCATCCTCAGCTTTTCAATTTTACACTTACTGTACAATATCTGCTCATTAAGAGTTGAGATTCCATATCATGACATCAGTTAGATAAGTGTAAACCACAAAGCCTGATTGCAAGAACTACCTTGATATAGATTAAAAAGGAAGAGAAATTACCAGGACTTGATAAGACAGCACGTGGCCTTGGGATTGAGCTGGCTCTAATATTTTGTTTACTCAGCTCTTCCATTTTACTGTCCTTCATTTCTCCTGTCAAAAGACACATTCAAATGTCAAAACTGGAAGACAAACAAAAATCTTTTTCCCCCTAATAAATATGATAGAATCTGTATTGTCACGAAGCATATGATTTTGTAACTAAACCTTCAGCTACAGATATTGATGGCATCACTACACTTGGGACATAAGATTTTGGAATTCTTGCAATAGTGGGGGGAGAAACATCTTGGTGCTCCTTCTCTGTAGATAAAATCAAATGTCAAATTACCCAATGACCAATAAATCCTCAGGAAAAAGAAAAAATAATATGAACAAACATTTTATCCTAACATTAAAATAGGTAACGTGAAAGGGGAAGGGAAGTAATGCTTCTATAGTGAGGTAGTATTTAAAAGAATGGCATCATTGCTCCGGAGTAAGGATTGGTCAAAGGAGTAAATCAACAATACAAGCTCTGATAACTCAAACTGAAATCAGACATTTAAACTGAGACTTTTTCTGAGAAAAAAACATATACTGAACCAACGGCCTGAGCTTCATCTACAAAGGTCAAGCCACATGGACGAAATTTGTCTGGAAAACCAATAATGAATCATGAGGACTAATAAACATTTTCCTAGGGCTTTGTAGGTATACAATCTACCACTTTCCTTAACTTGGAAGTGATACGCATGCCAATCCTAAACTGATAAACTGATCACCTAAACAAATAGCAAACTGGATTATAATAAAGTACATTCTTCCTCATTCCAATACACAGAATATCGCATGACACACTTTTCTGGACCCTACCATGTATGTTTAATCACAGTTCTAAAGAGTATAGACCATTTGTATATTTTTATAAGAGAGTTTTGTTAACAATAGAGATCATGAATTTTCATTTTCTTCTCCCATTCTTTTGTGCAATTCTCATGCTCAGTATTACAATGAAATTAAACAAAAAGGTTTCTTTACACTTTCTTCAACTTGACAACTGCAAATTTAAGAACAATTCTAAATATAAAAGGTATTATTACAAATGAATTCAAAGATACAAATGAGACTGAGCAATCAAAGTTTCAGAGCTCAATTCTGTGGTAGAAATGACAAAATGCATGAGTAAAACAACCGCAATTTATAAAGCAGAAAGCTTCAAAAGTCCTCTTACAGTTCTAAAGAGTATAGACCATTTGTATATTTTTATAAGAGAGTTTTGTTAACAATAGAGATCATGAATTTTCATTTTCTTCTCCCATTCTTTTGTGCAATTCTCATGCTCAGTATTACAATGAAATGAAACAAAAAGGTTTCTTTACACTTTCTTCAACTTGACAACTGCAAATTTAAGAACAATTCTAAATATAAAAGGTATTATTGCAAGTGAATTCAAAGATACAAATGAGCAATCAAAGTTTCAGAGCTCAATTCTGTGGTAGAAATGACAAAATGCGTGAGTAAAACAACCGCAATTTATAAAGCAGAAAGCTTCAAAAGTCCTCTTATTCAATACTCCATGGATAACAATAAAACAAGACTGAAATAGAACTCAGAAAGCAAAATTTTGTAAATTTGATTAAACTTTCCAAACTAGGAAATACAGGATTGAAGGAAAACCTGGGAAACAAAAATCAATGACGGCATGACGATCATCTTGGTCTTCTTGTTGCCTGACCTTCACCTTCGGGTACACTTTAAGATCCCAGAGAGAAACAAGAAAACCCATTTCAGAAATTCTACTTTCTAACAACATAATCCACCCAAACAAAGAACCCAAAAGACAAAGCAAGCTAAATAAAATGAAAAATGAACACAAACCCATTTCAGAAATTCTACTTTCTAACAACATAATCCAAACAAAGAACCCAAAAGACAGAGCACAAACCCATTTCTTTTTTCCTCTTCTTCTCTCTCTTCTGAGAGCTTCTTCAGGTGTTGAGGGAAGTATAG